TCTTGAGGTGTAAGGACCAGGACTTCAACAATTTCATGGTCAACGGCGAAGAGCGCGTCTGAGGGCTTCCATAATTAATCAGGAGGCCATTCAACATACTGACTATAGAAGTTGTGTAAGGCAAAGGTACAGGGGCTGGCTTTGCTTCTGTAATCTGGTTACAAGGACTACTCTTGATGCTCTGCCATTCTCATCGTTGCGATCATCACGAAGCCTCCACTATCACTACGGTCGCATTGTCCTCTCCGCAGGGATTTGTCAAGGGATGGGCCGCGTTGCCTTGCTCGGGTTTGTCGTATGTAAGGCAGCATCTGACGCCTAGAATGTGGCCGGCACCGAGCAGGGGATAGACTTGCAAGAAGTGGCGAACACCAAAGATGTGGATTCCTGGCACGAGCTGCGATCCACGAAGCCAAGCCCTGTAACAATTTCCCAAGGTCAACTAAATCGTGGCCCTGAAGAAGATGGGAAGTCTTGAGACATGTTATTGCAAGGGCCAGGAACTTGCCAAAAACATTGACCTAAACTCCTTTTTTTGGTATCTGTCGGGTACCTCAAATAGACCTGAAGCGTTATTGGTAATTATTCAGGCGTATACATTACTTCCACGGCCTCTCCCAGCTGCCCGAGAACACCTGAATCAATCGAAGGCTGTGTCAGCCACCATGGGCCTTTGGACGGACGATGTCTCTGCAGCTCAGATGCACTCTTGTGGCTATGAAACTGTTAAGGATTTGCTGGGTCCTTTTTGTGATATCGTTGAAGCCTATGTTTTCGCATTCCTTACTGGGGCTTAGATTTCTTAGACAACATAAAACCAACAATGAAACGTGCGAGGAACGCACATGACCGGCAATACGAGGTTCGCGACAACAAAATCTCTGGACATCTGCCTGTGGGACGGGAATCTGTCTAGGTTTCGGCTCATCTTCTAAAAAAATATCACGGCCGCGGGTGCTTCTTCCAAGAAGTTACCAACTCTCGCAAAAGCTTGCATGGTTCCATGCTGGGTTGCTGTTAAGGTACTTAAGTTAATCTACTATATTGGGGAAGCCATATTAATTTGTATATACACACACCCAGTATGGAAACTTCAATCAAGTTCCTTAGCAGCAACCCAGTATCTGTGTCATGTTGAGAAGTTGTCACAAGACAAAGCAACATGACTCCCGCGCTCGCCTTTTTCTGGCAACATAAAGCCATGTGTCATCCACAGGGCTCTTGGGGCTGCTGACGTAGCCAAAGGATGAGTAACACAATGTTGATCTAGATGAGAAGAGTAGGAATGTTGGACAGTCGTAGTGAGTTCTACTGGAGAAAAAGCCTGAAATGCAAAGGCGTTCATGTCGCGGGGCCTACAGGCAGCAATAATTGTATTGTAGAAGCCTGAATCCTTCGGAAGACTGTTTCCAATAGACCTTAGTCAAACTATACCAATTAAAACGCATTCCAAAAAACAAGGAGCTAAAGATAGCTTTAACTTGACTCTACCCACACATACCCTCAAAATAACTTGAGGCCCTAACCTCGCACTTTGGAAATCCACCGAGGCCTTGCAGGGAGGCTCCTGTGAGTATGCCAATTCAGCGCACGGTGGACTCCAGCAGCTCGCCGCATAATGCAGTTTTGGGTTTCGTGGGGGTTGTGAAAAGTATGGTCCCCTTTTGGGTCCCCGTTCTGGTGCAGTCCTGAATATTTAGGGTACCCAAAGAGATGGAGAGAGAGAGAGAGAGAGAGACCATAATTTTGACAACCTACCATACAGGGCAGAGATACATACGGCTTAAGCTTCGCGAAGAGGGATGCGGGGCACAAACACCAACAAACAAATCCTGATCTTTTTCGCCCTACCATTAGGGGTGCTTCAAAAGTTGCTGTTCTGTCCGTGGCCCTACAGAAATGAAGAGACATGCTTGGGCACCCCTCTTGATGTGAGAAACAAAAGGAGAGGCTGGGGCTCGGAATTTGCTCAAGGAGAAAGTCATGGTCCATGATTGCACGTGCAGGCGGATCATATGATGCAGGGGAGATTTTGATGTTTATTCAAAGAAGTGGCATGAGAATTTGGCTTTAGAATACAAAAGGAAGCAGGCTTCAACAGCTTGAGCTGAGTTTGGGAAGATCAAGATGTGGCTTCAGGGTTTGACACATGGAGACTACATTCAGTGATTGTTTGTGGCAGGGCTAGTAATTCGCATTATGGTTTAGGATTCAGGTTGTGAGGGGAAGGTGGGTCCCCCAGCCACAACCTCAGCTCCACACATCCACTTGAAAACAGTCTTCGAGCCTGGATCTCCAACTCCAAAACCTAAACTCCAGCACCCCATGTAAGGTACTTTCTGAGGGCCTGTCAGGGTAATTACCAAGCTTTTCAAACGTGGATCTGCCAAGATCCCCAGCAGCTGGCAGCAAGTACCTGGAGACGCGCGCTGTTTGCCTGGCCAATCCGGAGCATCTTCGGGAAATGTCTGACAATAGACCTTGTCACCATTGCAACTTTTTGGCGGGGCGTCCATATGGGTATATGTTGAGGGTATAAGGAGAGGACCAGCTCTCAAAGTTCAGGTCCCACTCTTGCATCCAGGATGCGAGGTGCTGATAAGCAGTTCCTAACGTGAGATCTGCAAGGTTACAGGTAGGGAGTTCCTACCATAAACTGTGAACAGGAGACGGCTTCAATCAGATTCTCAGCAACGAGTCCAGTGTACACTTGTTCGCTTCTCGGGGCCTGATCCACGGCCTAAATAATTACCAATATTACGGTCCTGGATTCCTCGCGTACTTCTGGTACCTCAAATAGATTTCAAAACGATGTTAGTAACTACTCAGCACCTACAACACGGTCTTACATGCCTTGTAAAGCTACCCGATGCCCAACGGGTGCATGGACTCTCCTGGGTCACTGGGAGACCCCGTCCCTCCCATGCTTGGGTCTTCGCCGCACCACTACTCTGGGTTGCTATTAGGGAATTTACCATAATGGGTATTTATAGTAAATAATAGGGTTTCCCAATATAGTAACTTAAATTAAGTTCCTTAACAGCAACCCAGTACTTGGGGGATCAGGGGGATATAAAAATCAGTATACTTACGACCCCTATAACCTGTATCGTAACCCCAGTTATCCCCGTTATTAACCTGCTAAACCCCTGAACCGTCCAAGTAGGTGGGGGGCTTGCATAATGAGAATAGATTGTTGGGGTACAGTACATTTTTTTGTTGAAGGGGTCTAAGGGGATAATATATTGGTAATGCTGCGGGTTCTACAACACTCTAAACCCAATCAGGTTACGGAAAATCCCATCCCGTCGAAAACATGAAACCCCCAAAACCGATGGCGTTCAGGAGATCTATGCTGCGGGATCCTCCTGCGGCTCTTGCTGGAAGGCGCTTGCCCCTGAAATCCACTACCTCAACACTGGGCTGCTGTTAAGGAACTTAAGCTAGCTTTTAGCGTGTCGATATGTGGTACATGATATGGTGTCCTTTAGTTGGCAATTTCATGGAAGTTTCTTAACAGCAACACTTAAATTGTTTGACCCCAAGAGTAATTTCGCCTGTTGATAAAGTATCCCCAGATGTCACTTTCAAACACTTTCAAGTAGGGAAGCTTTTTGGTATTAGGGGTAGGTATTAGGGCGGTATTACAGGAGAGGAGGTGCCATTCCCATATATTATTACGCATCTCCCTCCGGAACCGTTACGAAGTTCCCAAATCCACGAGCACTAGGTCCCAGGAATCTAGGAACTTCACAGGTCGTGAGGGTCGATGTAAAGGCCAGGGCAGCCAAGTACAAAATCAAATGAAAAAGCTCATGGAAAACAAGGTGATAAAATATATATATATATGGATATATAAAATGGTTCATGGCTTCCTGATTGTTGGTATGGTCTCAACTCCAAGACTGGGATCTTGCCACCTACCCAAAATCTGCAGGTCCACATCCAGATATCTGCTAGCTGGGGAAAGAAAGTCCCAAGTCATAGCCAGGTGATATCCAAATGCGTCTTATTAGAGTTAAGTGTATGGGTAAAACTCGTTTTTGTAATACACCCACCTACAATATACCATCCAGATGTTTGGGTTTCCAAAAATCCGGGGCCCTTTTTTGGAAGCCCGTTTCATAGGGACTACAGCACACTGGGGTCTATAGTAGAAGCCTTCTTTATGGAAGCTACTATGAGCTATGCTGGTTCGGAAGCAAGCCATGAGCATTCATTCCGTGCCATGGACCATGAACAAAAAGCGCGCAGCTTGAAAAAGATATCTTACCAAGCTTGGGTCAACCTGAGACAATACAAAGCATATGTATTTGAGTCAGCTCATGCCGCAACCACTCGTGATGGAGAGTGTGGACTCCGCACTGGGAGCCGTAGATCTCGGCCAAGTGATGTGGAGTTCTTTGTTTTTGTTCTCGCTTTGGCTGCTACACTGAGGGTAATTGGAGTACTTTTTGAAAAATCTCGGGTTTTAGCCTTTAGGGATTAGGGCTAGGTACGCCAGTAGTACCCTTTTCCCTTTTTATTTTGGAGTCTCCTTATTAAAACTGATGATTAGGAAAAGGGGTACCTTTTTATTAAGGGGTTACTGGGAAGCCTAATGGGTTTAGGACTCCTCATGCGAAGCTCTTCCATTCCATGGAAGATCTTGTCCCAACCCGCATAGCTCTAAACCTTTGCCCGGAACTGCCCCCACCCCAAAACAAGAAACCAGCTGTGAAACCCAGATTCCCGCAAACAATCCCAATGAATGCCAAGCATACCTATCCCATACTGAGTCGCCTCCATGTGGTAGTTGTTCAAAACACCTGTCACCGACATGGCCATAATGTGGGTTCCCTGTTTGGTTAGGATCCCCTTTTAAGGAAGTGTATTCGCAAATGGCCACTTCTTTACTAGGACCTTCAGAACCCCAAAACCTAATCCTTAAACCCTAATCTCTAAACCCTAAACCATAATCCCCTAGCCCGAAGAACAACCCCCATGTGTGAAGCCCTGAGGCGCATCGCGAGGGTCAGGGAAGTCTGGTAGTGCAGGTCATCGGCTCGCATGGAGGCGACCGGGAGTATGCTTTAGGTGGACCCCCCACCCAGTGGTAAGGACTATAAGGGATAGTAAGGATTCTGTTAGGGTCCTCTTATATTCCTATTATACCACTATTACAGGATGGGTATATTTGGAGCATGGTTTCATATTGTTTGGCTGAGTGAAGAAAAGTTTGTCACGTTCAGTTCTGTGGATATTAGCATTTGAAGTTGTTTTCTCTCATGGGGCTTTTAGGCAGACCTTTTCATGACCTTCGCCTGCAAGAATCTAAGCGGGGCTTTTTACTTGTCATTTCTAGCATGCAAGCAAGTATGATCCTCACCTAAGATGGCTCGCCCTGCATGAGGGGATAAAGCAACCTGCCATATACAGTTTAAAATTTGATTCCTCATCAGCAAAGAAAGCGAAAAATCCTGGCATCGAGCCACACCCAGCAAAAGGCTCAACCTCCTTGAGGTTCAAACCCTAGATCTAATGAAGAATCAGAGGCCACTCCGGTGGACAAGTAATGTGGGCATACGCATACCCAGCATACACCACCGCCACCACCGCCACCACCACCACCACCACCACCACCACTTCCACTGCACAGTGTCAGGACCCTTCTTGTCAAGGTGTGAAAAACATGGCGGGCTTCTCAAAATGGGACCCTTAGCGACACCAAAAATGATACTAGCTGATTATGTTCATGGAAGATGCAAGGAGCTGTGGGCGTCTCATAGAGGCTTAAACATCCATTACCTTAACATCCTGACGATACTTCAGCACACGCTGTTCAATCGTAGGCTCCAACGGCTTGGACTGCCACTTCGAGGCATTTCGCGCCATCACTGGAGCAGACTCTGGCACGTTTGAGGCTTGGGGGGCTTGGGGTTGCGGGCTGAGAAGCTTGGGGGGGTCTAGACCACAGGGTAAAACGCTGCAGTAAGGCCAGATGAGCTATAGTCTAAACTCCTTAAAGGGAGGGGTATATAGGGATTATATGGGGAAGTATTATAGGGGTTATTAAAGGGGATACCAAGAGTTTAGACTATAGCTCAGATGGGCTGGGAATTAGGGCGTGGGATTGGGCCAGAAAGTTGGAGTAAGACTAGACATGTTGGGAGTTTAGGGTGTCCAGTTGAGTGTTGCTTGCAGGTTGCTGCTAGTAGGGAATAAGCGAATATGATCCCCCTATATGATTCCCATATAATATGTCCTTACTAACCCGAAACCCCAAATGGTCATTTCCATTTTCCATTATACCTATATAATTCCTTTTTTGTACCCCTATGGTCCTTTCTCCCCTACTAACCCTAAAAGCTTAAACCCTAAGCCCTAAAACCCTACGTGAGTTTTGGGGGCTGAAAAATTTGAGGAGGTCACAAGCTCAGCTCACGGTTGCGTATTCCAGTGGACAATGTGAACAGCATCTAGGCAGCTCCAAAAAAGTACCTGTTTCTGGATCCATTTTGGGAACCCGCGATTTAGCAAAAGGTTCCAAGATTGAACTGAGAACTAGTCAAGCTACAAATAAGGATGCACACAACAAGAATCCACCCCATTTTCGGAAACCACGATGTAGGGGCTGAGAACAACCCATGAGCTTCATGCAACACCTGGGCAATTGTCAGGTCCTCCTGGAACCGGTCGAATGCGAGGCCGGCGTGGCGTTTGTTGGCTTATGGGAGAACCCACCAGAAATTGATGTTGCTGCCCAAACAAGCAATCTGCATGTAGAGATCCCAGTCTACAACGACTGGTTGCGGCTTTGGAAAAACCATTGTAGTTTGTACGGGGACCGAAATATATACCCAAAAAATTATCATCCTCATCATGGGGACTCCTAAATAAGGGAACCCGGGACGTTGGAAACCCGAACCCCTAGTCTCTATAAAGTAGAAATCCAACCCTAACCCTGAATCCCCATATGGTATTATATATATATATGTACATACCCATACATATCTATATACATATATATGCAAGTTATGTCATCTTTGGCGGCCCCTAATTTTTGAAAACCTTTGGAAGGCAAGGTAGAACTTAGCGCCTGGGTTTCCAAGCAGCATTCGGTCAGCATCAGTATTCTTACTGTCAGTATTTCTTGTAGGCTTGGCTTACGATGGTAAGTAACTTGGTCAAAATTCCTTGTGAGACACAGAGAAAGAGAGATTGATTGAGTGATTGATATTTTGAAGAGTGTTGCCTTTTTTTCTTCAAACATTCGTCATGAATGCACCATGCAATACACAGGCACAGAAACCTAGTGTAAGATGTTCTTTGTCATCCTTCAATGGCTCAGGATATAAACGCGTCTACCTTGATTGATGGCTTTCTATCGGGAGCTGCACTTGCTGCGCAGGTGGCTGGCGCGGGGCCCATGGCCACCATCCTCAATGGCGACAATGCCTGGTCTGGGCCCGAGGGCTTTCGCACTCTTTGAAGGGTTTCGCAAAATGGGTCTATCAGGGAACCCCAGGAACATCTGGGATCTAAAGGTGATCATCGTTTTAGAGTTATAGGGACTATGGTTGAGAATTCTATGCAAAGCCTTTTGCCTAAGTGCCATGTCGTTGGTATGACGGGTAGTGCCGATGATGTCACTGATCTCTAGCTGCTTCTCTCATGTGGAGCGTCTATGCTACTACTTTCATTTGAGCTGTGACGGTTGCATGGCAGCCACTGTCCTCATTGTAAACTATGACACCAGCAAAAAGCACAGACTGCAAAAACACGTTGGGCAATCCCCTGCTATTTCCTTAAGCGACTTGGGGTCGTTTTTTTTTGGTAGTTGCAGTGCTCGATGGTGCCAGGTACACTCGAGCAATCTTCTCGAACTTGCCTTATGCTGTTCTGGGCGCCACGATCCTTGGCTAAGCAGTGGGTCCTTAGTTTGCCTTCCCTCAGCACTTTGACAAGCAAGTCCCGCCACAACATGTCCAACACTCTTCATGTCCTGCTGGTGGGATGCAGGGTCTTGCCTCTTTTGTGACCTTCCATAGCGAACGACGCAAACCCCACAGACCTCACGCAAGGACTTCAAACCACTGCTAAGCCCTTGCTGCAACTCAGGATCTCTGTGGATGGTCAGGCACTGGGGTGTCTTGTTGAGATGAGCTTTTGTCTAAACTCCTAGTATCCCTCTCAATCTCCCCCATAGTACTCTCTACATGATTCCTTTCATAACCTCCTTTTAAGGAGCTTAGACTATAGCTCAGATAGTTTACCCAGGTTTCCGTTTCTGAGGCTTTCTCGTGTAGGTTTTGCAAAGCAATGGCCCTGAAGCCTCTCAGCAGATGGTCTTGCATGCATTTCTCGTTCCAAAGCCTACATTATGAGTGCAAAGTGCATCCACATCGAGTCCTTTCTGCAGTCCCCATTTAGCAGTTGAGGGGTATACTGGAAAGCCGAGAAACTGGCGTGTTGATCATTGGCCATGGTGGGGTGACGTTTAAAAGTCTCAGACCGAGCGGACGGAAAGACCCGCAAACCCTGGCAAATTCCTGCCATACAACGAACTTACAAGATGATTTCAACGCCCAAAAGGGTCCCCAACGCATGAACCACGTCTCCCTGCGACGTAGTGTCATATTTATAAGCATCCAGACGCTACTGGAAGAGCATTGTACTCAGGCTTGTTGGTATAACAGTGACCCCTAAACCTCGGACCCTTCACCGGGGTTTTATTTAATCCGTCAGTGTACAACAAGCTCTGCACAAGCGGGGTTTCTCAACATAGACAGGAACATAGAGATCATCAAGAAATTTAGGGCCCCGATTAGGGGATCATGCCAAAAAATCCCCCAAATCCAACCACACCTTCATAGAACTTCATCCGCACCTACCTAACCCGCAGACAACTCCTTTTCCTGCCTCCGTGCCAGGCGACGGAGATGAGCCGTGTGGCTGGGGCTACATGGCAGGCCAAGGGGTGGCACCCCAAGCAGGGCTAGATTTGAGAATAATACTAAACCCCCCCACCCCCGCCTAATATTAAATATACCCAATACATTATCATATACCATAATTGGAGCAATTAATATTAGGGTGGGTGGGGGGGTCAATATTTTACTAGGGGGAGGGGCTTACTTTCAATTCTTATCACGCTTAATCCCTATAAAACCCGCTTATGGGCCCCTAGCATGATCCTATTAGGATTCGAGCTTGGGTGTAGATAGTGGAAGCTTGATTTGAGAGAAGCTTGAATAAGATAGCATTACTTGAGCGGGGGTCTTACCATCAAGCTCCCCCGAAGAAATGAACTTGCTTCCAAGAATGGATGAGGCTAAAGCGTGAATCCAAAGCCCAATAGTGAATCTGAGGGAATGCAAGCTTAAAGCCTTGAAGCCCTTAGCCCAGAACCCGCCTGGCCTCAACCCCTAATTCCTATCCGAAGCTCCGAGAGGCCCAACTTGGGGGCAGCGGAAACTCGGCTTCTTTCACTCTGCAGCTGGAGGGAGGGCACGAGGCCGTTGCGTTCAGGTTGATCAGGTTTACTTAGCATGTTCTTGCTAGGTCTAGAGTGTTGGAGAAGGTATGTGCCAGTCATAGTGGAGATAGTCTCCAGACATTGGGAAGCTGGGAATCTTGGGGCTTATACCTTCATAGCATCTTAAGTTACGCACTTGGAGCCCTTTGCAGACAGCTCTTTTCTTGTTGGACCCTGCGGCAGGCTTCCTTCCCCGACTGCTTCAGCTCTTGGCCGGTGCAGACAGGAAGCTCCTGCACCTCCGGCGCATCCCCGAGCCCGAGTCCCACAACTCAGGCAACTACCAGGGCCCTGGCTACGACCACACAGGCGACCACCACCACTACCACCACAACTACCCGAATGACCGCGACCATGCCTACCGTGCCCCCGACCAGTACCAAGGAGCCCACCAGCACCAAGGGCCCCACATCATGTGCGGCCGCCGGCGATGATTGCCGCGATGCTGGCTGCTGCCAACAAGCCGGGCACACCTGCTACGAGAAGGCCTTCGCGAGGGGCAGTACAAAGCTTGTTGGTGGGTCTGCGAACAAATCTGTCAAGGGTTTCTAGAAGTTCTGGAAGTTGGTGCAGCCGTGCTGCCACTTTTGCTTGCCAGCGCTACACGGCGCCTGTGGCTATGGCAGAACCAACATGCAAAACGCGCCCACCAAGAAAAACAAGGCAGGGCTAGACCATGCATGCCCCGAGCTCGGGCCTGAAACTCTGATGCCCAAGGTCACACAACGCACTCGCCATCCACAAGACCCCAAGGCGTTTAAATCTCTGATCCAGAGCTTTTCCACCCTCAACCCAAACATTCAAACACTCCAATATGTGGACCTTAAATCAGGATATATAAGGGACTATATAGAGGGGGTTGAAAGGGGTAATATAGGGATAATGGAAGAGATGATGGAAGCCACTATTTTGGGAGGATGATTTCTGGGCTGCTTGCAGAAGCAGCTGCGAGCCTGGCAGCGTGAATCCCACGGATCCAGAGGAGCTGCGGCAGGGTTCGGAGAGTCAGGGTAATCGGGTTCAGGGTTTAGGGGGATACTTCTGCAAAGGCTTTTCATAGCAATGCAGGAAGACGATGAGAACATGAATGATACTGGGTTTCCAGAGCTACTCAACACACAGCAATGTGAAACCTGTCTTAGGATGTAGGGTTTCATCAGATTATCTTGGAATGTCTCCCTTCACTCCGAGGGAACCAGCAACAAAACTTCAAGCTTCACCCAGATGCCAAGGGGGCACGTGAAAGATCCATATTGCACAGATCAGGGAATTTCATGAACCTAAACTCTGCAGGGGGTCTGGGTTGGCCCTCACCAAATCAGAAGATCCAGAGGAGTTCCGCACGCCCTGGACCTGCGAGGCGCGATGAAGTGTTGAGATTGCTCCAGGTGAGGTACAATCGGTTCAGGGGGTTTTCATCATTTGGGAATGCTGTCTTGGGAGTGTTTGGTATCTAGTATTCTTGGAGAGTAGCAGAGGAAGACAACACTGTTGTGCAAGGCACTGCCCAAGAGGTACCAATGCGAAAGGTCATTCCTGTCTCCTCATTCAGTGGCCTATTGATCCAGTGGGCAACATAATCTAGTCATACTATGTAAGACTTCATTCAGCCAGTAAGATCCTCCATACAGCATCTCCGAAAGGGTTTTGGAAAAACTGGCCACGGCAGACACACCTTATCAGGGGAAGGTGCTGCTTTCCTCAGTCCAGCGCCGAGGGATTCATTAGCTACTGGCTGCTGCTGCAACAACAGAGCATTTCGAATGACAAGCCTTGCCACAGGAGCCGCAACAAATCATGCATTGCATCTATGCCCAGAACATGGACCATGCGCCTGTGGATAAACTAGCTCTGTGGGGGCAAATCGTTCTTAGGGCCAACTTTCAACTCCCCTTGCATGGCTTACTTTGTTCATGCCGCGCCCATGCCTGAACTCGCGGAAGGAAATCGGTGGCAGCAATCCAACGCCTTCGCCCGTGCCGCAGCCACAGCCATCTCCGATGCCTTCGCCAATGCCTTCGCCGGGACCAGGAAGAAATGGCAATTTGCAACCAGTCAACTTACAAGGTATGCCTGACATGGGGGTAGCTTCATGGTGAAAGTTCATCTAAGGCGCTCTCTATCGAGAGTATAAACCAATCTTGCCTTGGCAGACGCAGCAAACTCGCTCAATCAAACGTGTCAGAGGAATCAATATCGGTTTTCGCTCAGATTCAACGTCACCCTCGAAGCCCCAGCCAACGACCGATCAGCTAGACCCTAGATGCATGGTGTTCAAAGGCAGCTCGATACATGCGAACTTCAATACGGCATTATAAATCGGCTCCTTACGTAGGTTCCTAATATCAGGAAATGGTCCTTACATAGGAGGTCCTTCTTCCATACCGTCTAAATAAAATCTTCAACACAGGGACCTCGACAAAATTTCCAGACGCCAATGCTTCCTTGTCAACCCATACCTGCTCCAGGCTTAACCTTTGGTTAGCTGGGAATGAAGGAATGAAAAAGAAAATGGAAACTACTATAGTGGGTTTTATACTACTATTTAGGGTTTTGGGGAGGGAATGGAAAAGAAAATAGAAACTACTCTCATGGGTTATGCCGGGACTACTACAAGGATCCATTCCTTCCTTCCTAGCTAACCAAAGGTAAGCAGGGGCCCTGCGGACTTCCCAGCAAACTCTATGGTCAGGGGGGGCAATCCGTATTGCAGATTGCGCTGAAGTACGGAAAACGCCTGGGTGGTGGGGAAGTTCCTGGTGAAAGATTTCCCAGATAAACATCCCCTTTCCCAGTTCGTGATTGAATTGCACGTCTTTGAAAATCCTTGAATTGGAAAAGAAACTCCCTCAACCTCCTTTGTGATTGATCCCACAGGACCTTCCGGCGCCTTCCGAACCTCTACCGTTGGCTCAAGCAAGGACCTGTGGGGAAGCTTGAAGGCCTCGGTCTTCCTTACAGGTGGTTTAGGGATTGAGGTTCCACTAGAAGCTAATCTTGGGATCAATTCCTGCCTCCCTATTACCGCCAGTTAATTCCTCCCTTCCCTACAAACTACCATTGAGCTTCTTGGCCGTGTATATAGAAGACCGTGTGAAGTTGACATTATTTCAGGTTGTAGAGCAGTCTCAATTCTCCAGAAGATCAGTTGTTGCAACCTCGGGCAGATCAATGGTTTGAAGATGCAATGCTCCAAGGACCTTTCCTACACTCCAACAACCTTGGATGTTAAATAGGACCAAGACGTTGATTAAGCTGCTTTCAAATACTTGATGCAACCCTCAACTACTAATACCCTTATGTAGGACTCAATGTCATCCTAGACAGAGCAATTTGAGAAACCTCATACGCATATGCATGAAACTGCCTTGGCCCACCAGACTAGCTGGTGTTGGCCAGAAAAGAGCCCTGCCGCCCTGCCTAAAGAGTGCCACCGTGATTCCCCATTGCTTGATGTGATTCCTGGTCACTTCCTTTTAGGAACCAGTCTATAAACTGGGAAGCTGTCCTCTGCCTAGCGCTTTATTTTGATTGCGAGTAATGGTGATTGCTTCTATTGCTGCTACAACTGCTAGATTTGGTTTTTACCTCTGTGTGCCCAAAAGTCTGCCCAGCTGTCTTCCCAAGAGCTGTAAGGCTACTTGGAGGTCCAAGACAATTACAATCTTGCAGGCAACTGCAAGGTGAATTTTTGTAATATTATGAGTACTATTGTTGCTATTATCGCTCTGCTTGGATATTATTATGATTATTAATACTATTTGCGCTGGTCGTCTGAGTTCATCGGCGCAAATTCCGCCAGGACAGGCTCTTTGAGTTTGCGGACGTCCTTACCAACCAGCCTGTGCCAGGTTCGAAGGCAGCGTGCTTCAAGGGAATTTAGACAAGGAGTCTGTGCGTGAGCATGCGGGTTCATGCGGGTTCGTTAGGAGCTGGTAGATGTTGTGTTGACTTTACTTCGGGTGGGTCCACCGCCCTTTACGTCATCTCGCCTATTCAAATGATCTCTTTTTACTCATAGCATTCATGCTACAGAAGGATAGAGCTTGCACCATGTAGGATTCTTCCGTGGGCAAGCACAACCCCCTTCATCTACTGTGGTTTTCTGCCACAGAAAGCAAAGTCCCCCATGCAGGGCTTATTGAGATTTCAAAGGAAGATCAGAAGGCATGCACGAATTCTTGAATTCACATGTTTCGAAGTGGGCGGAATCGTCCCATTTCGCTGTGGCACGGCACAGCCTACAGCAATTCAATGGCAGATGGCACATGAGGACACCGTTCTGGCTACCAAAATGTCATCACACATCTCTAAACCGGGGAGCCCCAACTTTCTCAGAATTCTTGTGTAATTGGGGCACCCCCATTTTGATTTCCCTTGTCAGGCTCGAGCAGTACAATCCTCTGGCGGTGCCGCTGGAGGTGTTGCCCCGCGGCCGCAGCAACTGAAGAGGAGTTTCGGGGGGGGAAATTCTGCTGAGCCGAGGTCTGGCAGAGATGTTTCACCTCCTTTTTGCAGTTTTTACTTCCGCTTTGATCACACGACCTCCTGTCAGGCGCAACATATTCCCTTTCGAGCTCAGCATGGTTCCCAGAAAGTTTCATCCCCATCATCTGAGTATCAATTGGAATGCGTACGCCAAAGACCCAATAGAGCTAATATGGACTTGAGACTAGGATTGAGGCAGATAGTTCTTTTTGCTGAGCAGAAACATGAAACCTTATTTTGTTCAACCACCAAAAGAGAATGCTACTCATCTGGCCTCTCCGCCCTTTCGAGGTCTCGGAGAGCCAGGGGTACGGCCTCCTCCTGGGTGGCTCGCTTCTGGCGGCCATGGGCCGCTTTGAGGCTTTCATGGGGGGCCTGGGGAGGCGGGACTAATTTAAGCGTGAAGGTGGTGAGAGCCAAGAGAGAATTGAACCGCTCAAAAGGGGATTTGAGGTTGCCTAAAGTGGCACCCTGTACTTGGCAAATGTAATTCAGCAACTACGTTCTTGGAGGGCTTGTCGTAATAGCTGAACAGCGAGCAAACATTCCCAAATAGTTCCGTAAGGGTTCTTGATCGAGGTCAGGGCCACCAGGTGAAGGCAGAAACAAAATGGCTGATTGCTCAGGCCTGCAACCCAGTTTTTGTTAGACAAACCCAGGTGCAATGGCTATAGTTTTGTCATGAACGCCACTCCCAAACAGCACAGGGCCAGGGCACTTGTTGGGGTCCGTATCTTGGAATCCTGAGCAAGGCTAAATTTGCTAGTGCCTGAGGAGTGGATCCCTACAGTAATCACTCCTATACAATCACGTAGAGTAGTCACTATGCTCCTCCCCCGTTCTGCCTTAAGCACCCGTAAGTGAACCCTGTATCAACGAAGCCTGCACCATGGTGAGCTGCGAGTTGTAGCCCCATTGCAACGACAAGCTCTGAGGCTCAGACCCGGACTTTGAGCGCGTTTCGGTACTCGCGTACGAGCCCCTTGTCCCAAGAGTCTGGAGTTCTGGGCTCATGAATTTCCTGGGTTGCTGTTAAGGAACTTAAATTAAATTACTATATTGAGGAAACCCTATTATTTACTATATATACCCATTATGGTAACTCAATTTAAGTTCCTTAACAGCAACCCAGTTTTAGGATGCCAGAGGTGATTGAGTTGCTACGCAGGTGGGAGCTTCGTTGTAGCAACTGAAGGCGTGCATGGAGTTTACAACGCGAGCAGAGCGGATGTTCCGAAAGGTCGCAAAGGCGACCTGAATGAAAAGCTCATGCGGATATATTGTTACGGGGCCTTTCGTTAATGCTCCAAGGTTCTTGGATCTTTGCAATGGGCTTTATGGAGTCAAACAATGGTTCTTGAGAACCGTAGAGTAGAGATTTGGCTTGGAGCATACACTGTGCACCCTAGCTCTGAGAGATCATGATGACCTGTAGGAGCATGTTCACATGTCACTCGCTTCCACCACCTGGTCTATGGTCGAAAAGCTCCGGAGCATTAAGTCTAGAATCTTCCTTTTGGCTTTTAAAGACTTGAAGCCGAACGTTGCAGAGATCAGCGGACCTAGACAACACCCATGATGAGAACGATCGTTGTTTTCACACGTACATGCCTCTGCATATACTTCATTAAACTGGTTTCTACCATCGCGCGGCTTCAACAAATCAAATCATGAGCCTTACACGAACTGCGATGGCTCAAAGCTTTGTCAAGGGATTTTGCCTGGAAAGTAAAGCCGTCCATACACCCCAAGCAAGAAGGTAGTGAAAAAGCAAATAAAGAACTACCAGGCTCGGATTCATTGTGTTATGGTGCTATCGGATACCTCAAGCGGACCTCAAGACGATGTTGGTAATTATCCAGGCCCCTACAGTAAGCTCCTGGCACCTGTATGTCCTTGGTGCCACTCCTGAGGCATCCTGGAACCTCAAGCAGTCATGTTTCAATGGAAACCTATTATAACCGCCCTAAATCCTACTAAAGACCCTCCGCAACCCGTAGCCCTTACTTTAGGACCTTCGAACTCCTGTAGAAGCTCTTCAGCCGAGGCTCTTCTTGGGCTGGCGTCGCATGTGCGAGATGAGCGCTGCAGGTGGAAGCTGCCAGGACGACGAGGGCTTCCAGCGCCTTTGCCCAAATACTAAAAATGCTGCATGGCCTTGGGGGCATGATTCCTGGCATTCACCGTAGGGTACTTCAGCGTTTAAAGCTACACAGGGATAAAAGGGGATTTCATGAAGCAGTGCTCTCTCGTAAGGAGAAGGCATTCTCGAATCTGAGGTCTCAATACTTCTACCATTGCTAGTGATCCTCGCCTCCTCGTCGCTGCCTCCTTCAGCATAACCCTTATATAATCCCTATAGATCCCCTCTACAATCCCTATATAGCCCACCTATAACCCTTATGTGATCCCTATATATATATATATCCCCTATATAACCCCATATATACTATGAGTCCGACCGAGGGCTGCAGACTGAGCAGCCGGAGTTGATAGGCCACGAAGTCCCCAGCATGCGCTTGAGAAACGAAAACGGCGGGGTTGTCAAAATTATGGGACCTTTCATAGTCCTTAGTAAGACGCGGCCTCTAATATGTGCCGGACCAAGACTGCACCATAAATGTGATTCATGATATGGCTTTGACATCTGCTCTGTCCCGAAGTTCGGAAGCAGGATCCACCTTTGTAGGGGAAAGGGGTATGTACGGGCTGCATGAAGATTGCGCCGATGTTGTGCCTGAGCTAGGTGAGGATCTTGCAAGAAGTGCAGCTTTGATTCGTTGGAATCCCACTGGGTGCGAGGGTAATTTAAGGCTTTAGAAAGAAGTTCATCAGCATCATAGATGGGTGTGTGCGCAAACGGCATGAAGACTATCCAGGGATTGGCTGAGGATTTAGATAGTGTTGGGGGGTGCGTGATTCTACAGGCAGTGTAGTTTGTCGAGCTAGATGTGATAGTTTCCACTAAAAGGGACCCCATATGGACCCCCAAATTCTATAGTCCTTACTATGGGGACCCCTCAAATGGTACCCCTGTTTGGGGCAACTCCCATGTATCTCTCTTGGAGAGGGAATCCAAAGGATAGTCCTTGTGGATCTTTACATCAGGCTTTCTGGTCTCTCGGCCGGTATGCAGAGGGGAGGAGTATGTTGAGAAACCCCCGAATCCTCATATCATGACTTGAACAGCTTCTACCTCTGGTATAGTGCATATGTATGTACTGAGTATCCCCTTTCAAGCCAGAAGCCTTGTTCATGCTCCACACGAAGGTGTGGTGGCGGCCGCTACCCATGCCTCCCTCACTGGAAGTTTGGCGAGGACGCTGACCTGTGGCTTTGTCATTGAGATCTTTGCGGGATTCTCGGGGCCCAGGCCTTGGAAACTCTAGGCCTGTCAACCGCCGCGCAAATCTTTCGCGAGGTGGTGAGAATCATGCCTCTTGAGAACGGTAGCATTGAGACCTTCGACAATCTGCAACGATTCTGCTGCAGGAAGTAATGAGCTTCTTTATGTAGACTTCTTCTTTTCTGAAGTTTCAGAAACCGTGGGGAATGCGTGACAATAGTACTGTTGATGATCACGGCAGAAAATTCATACCGTAAGAAGAGATGTTAACTTGGGCATTAGCTTCAGACTTGCAGGACTTGACACGGGTGGTCGGTCGTGGGGCAGCACCGGACGGCGACATCGATGCACTCACCGGCATGCTGCTTGGGCCTGCATGGCTATGTTGTTGAATAGGTGCCGTGCAAAAAGATGGATTCTTTTCATTGGTGTGTCTCCAAGAAGGCTGCTGTCATGGGTATACAAATTTGAGAAATGTTTGGCAGGTCGTCATCAAATCCAACCAAGTGTAAAAACGATGAAAAGAGCCGGGTGGGAAGACAACCGGATGGCAACTGAGAGCAGCATTAGTGTCTTGCAAGGACGTTGCGACGGGTCTGCATGTACTTTGACCCTGGCTATCACACACAATTTTGCAGGTAACGTGTACAGCCATGAGAGGTCTGGAGAACTTCCTACTGAGAAGTTAATTGCTGTACATGAATAGAAGGCTGCGACTGCGTCGCACACCATAGTTTCTTAAACGGAGATGTGTCTACCTGCAGGTCGACCCCTGCCGAAACCCCCACGAGGCGTCCAATGCGTAACTCGAGGTCATTGATACTTAGGTAAAATTACCCCGAATTGTCGGGAACGCGACCGATTGCCTTCTCTCTTTCCAGGCCCACCGCAAAATCTTGTTAGTTGAGAACCATGGGATTGGAAAGCTGTAAGGATTAGGTCGAAACAACACTCAGGTGAACTCCTCTAATCACTAGTCCCCCTTGCAATTACACCGATAGTCAACACTGATGTCTTGCAACATATTCTACCTAGAATATACTCTAGCAACCATTCAGATTTGTTGTTCCATGTTCCTGTCCATGTCATTATTGGGGTAGCATGCTTAGACCATATATCCCTACTCAAAAGCTGTTAACCCTAAATCACAGAGAAACATGCACGTCAAAGCGTCCCTGGGCTTGGACCTGCGAGCTTACAAAACAGCTAATCCCCAACCTCTTGCACATCAAGCGCAACGCTTGAGGATAACAGTTGCACTTGGAGATTCAGGGCGACTTAGTAAGTACGTCAATGATGGGGTAACTGGGCTTATGGGATATAGGAGTTATGAGTATACTTCCTAAGTTATCCTGACCAACCAAGTCGTAGGGCTAGCAAAGCAATGTTACCAAGAGTTCGGCTGTATCAGAATACACGTCAGCGACGAGGTTGCTGGCTGTCTTGGCCTTGGAGGGCACCGATCGCGAGCCGGACACTTCAAAGATAAAGCCGCAGGGTTCAGGGTCTGGGAACCCGGGTAGGCCCCTGAGATATTGAATATCTTCCTTATAACTTTAATAGCAACCCTGTATACCAAAATTTGTCAAGGAGTTTTAGGGGCCAACCCAGGGGAGCAGATCTGATTCTATAGCTGCCTGCTGTACATTATCTTCAGGTGTTGAACCAGAGGCTTGTCCCAACCCTAAGCCCTAAGCCCTAAACGCGAACATTGGGCTTCGTGCAGATGAGAGAGAAGGTTCGGTGTTCGAAGGATAGATCCGACCTCACGGTCAAAAAGCTGGACATGCAGGAATTTAGGGTACTGACATGTCATGTAGGTAGTACACATACATATAACTAATATAACTTATAACTATATAAAGTCCTTGGCATGAACCCTGTTATGGACTGTTAATGTGTTGGGGCAGGACTTAACACATGCACAATAACCCATGCCCCACTCGCGATTCAGCCAAGGCAGACTCTCCTCCCAGTACAATCTCTAGAAGCCCCAGTTGTACCCTTTGTCCCTTTTGATGTTGTTTCTCCTTATTAAAAGTGAACATTAGGTTTAGAGTCTTAAACCCCCGGCCAAACTGCAAATCCAAAATTATGAAGTCCAATTCCCAGAGGAACTTGCCTGAGACCCTGCACGCCCCCACGAGGACTGGCTTGAAGAGGTGGGCCAGTGGGCTTACGACACCTGCAAGCACGCCGGCTTCAAGCAGCAGATGTTCCGTATAGGGATTGCATAGGGATCATGTTCCCTTCTTCTCTACTAACCACCAGTAAATGTTTAGGCTTAGGGTCGTCGTTCAGAGATTTTAAGTCCTTCCTGGGCTGCAAAAAAGAGCAGCTGCAGCAGTAGTCCTCCGCTTACACCATGGCATCAGACGACGTAGACATGAAGGCCGCCAAAGGCCCGCTTATTGAAAGCATGCTGTAAACGGAAAAGCGCTAGTATGAGGCTTGATCATGCCTGCACGGACATGACTGAACTCACTGCAGGCCGAGTGAAAACAGGAAATTTTGGAACCAACAACCACGAGCTCCAAGAGACGTATCAGTGAAGCCTCACATAGTGAAAGGATCCATGTTTCGAAGCAGCGTATTCAGCTTTGGGTCCGTCTGGGCCGGCATGCCTCTAAAACTTGTGGCAAGTAAAGCACAGGACCCACTAAAAAAGACAAAGCTCAATCTTGAAACCATAGGCCTCGTCTTTGTAAGGCCGGTACAGATAAGTCTTCGAATTCGTTCGGAAAGGTTGAGGGTGTGGGTGGGTGGTGAGCCCGCTGATTCGCCACCACCTTGACCTTCAAAAATGACGTTGACTTGTCTGGAGCACTTGGACTTTGAGTTGTCATGGTACCAAGATAGAATCGTTGGGATTTGGCGGGAAAAATGAAATGCCCAAGAGTATAACAAGACAAACTGTGGCAGACACCCAGCACTTAGTAAAACTAGCCCAGGCAGTTCTACTTGAGCTCAACGGTGCCCTCGCCCAGTGGAAGTCACCAAATCGTGAAGCTGGGCTCTTGCTGGGGTGGCTGGGGCACTCAAGGCGGGTGATTTCATGGACGGCTTAAGAATTTAAAACTTTGGTAGCTCTTTTCCGCTGATTTTCTGGGCATCAAGTACTGCCACTCATTGCAGGCAAGGGTGGGGGCTTTACGGGACGATCTTAACTTGGAGCCTCAGAAAGCACATGGACCTGCTTCAGAGGATTGTCGGAGGAGTGGATGCGCACGATGTGCGTTTTGTTGCTGGCATTTTGTATTTCAGGTGTCCAGTGGCCGAAGCTGTTGCTGATGGTTGGAGACGGCGATTAAATAATGTGGGATTGCCATCGCAATCATTGTCGCGTCTGGAGATGTCACGAGGAAGCGGATGCGGTTCAGGAAGTCCATCAACGGGAGCTTTTGTTGTTTCAACGGGGCTTTTATTACGGGAAGATCCACACCCGCTCCCGACCAGTTGAGGATGGCTTACTTTCGTGAATGAGTTCTCTCCCAGCCCCTATGTTGGTTGCTCCCGGCATTCACCAGACGCACACATGAGGAGTGAACCATCACACGAGAAGAACCGGCCGTTGTTACTGCTGTTGCAGAAAATTCTCAGGTCAGCCTGTTCAGGGCCAGTGTTCTCGGCTTTGTACATGAAGCTCTCCCAAAAAAGCATGTTTCTGAAGCTCGTTAACCTACCAAAGTGACATGTGTCAGGTTTTTGCAGCGGACTGGCTCCTCATGATGATCATTGTTCTTGTTTTTTTGTAGTTTTGTTATCTTATTACTTATCCTGAGGCCAGGCGAGGAATTATTTCACAGATTCTATTACTTGTTTCATGGTCTGATTGTACTTTGGAAACGGAAGCATATAGCTACTGCATGCAAACTGCAGGGCAACAGCCACAGGAAGGGTGCAACCTTCAAAGCAGTTTCTGTGTGCACGAAACTTGAACTGTGCGACCGGGGCTTTGGAACCTCCGCCAAGCCAGCTGAAATTTAACGACAATCCAAGGCAAACACAACCAACTTACCTTGTAATTCAGAGATCCTCAGGCCAAGGCATTTGCAGGTGCTGCTTGGTAATCTGTCTTCGTACTAAATTAGTATCTTAGACTCGTGGTTGCTTGCCTCCAGGGTGACTCGGAGTGTTGCGCTTGCTTCTGCGTGCAGGTCAGAACCCCAGCTACCATGCGCCCGGAATTTATCGTCTTTGCCGTGACTACATGTGCCTCCGTCTGCACTCGTCTAAATACGTAGATGTTGCTGGCAGAGGGCCGAGAATTTAACCAAGCTCCCGATCTACCACACAACTAAAGAAGATGGGGTCAAGAGTCTGAACACGCTCGCGGGAGCTTCTAATGATGCCACGCGGCCATGCGCATAGCTCTTGCGCATCCTGGGATTTTGCGTTTAGCCCTGAAGCCCAAGACTCAAGTCGTCGAGCTTGTCCCGTTACGCCCGTAGATGTGTATGGTGACAACTGTACTGGATAATTGCGTGCATGAGGTCCATCAAGCTCCTAGCGCATGTTTCCGAGCTACTGTAGATACACCACGTGTGTCGGATGCAGACAGGAGCAGTGATGACCAGAATCAGAGTAGCAGCAATCAATGAGTACTCGCAATCCTCAACCTCAAAGCAACTTGTCCAGAGCTTCAAAGCTGCCCACTATCAACACACGTGTGCACACACATTCAAGGTAAAGTATGTAAGTCAGCATGCAGTTTGTCTCTCTGCAGAAGCAGAATCAATCTTCCTAGCGGCAACGAAGCCTTGGGCTTGCCAAGGATCTAATTGCAGTTTGTTAAATCAATGGCTAAGGCATCCAAAGCCACAGACTCGAGCTAAATCCCTTGTGCCATAGCAAGAAATGACTTTGAAGACAATCCTGAAAATATGCAAGCCCAGACCATCAGCGGAAGGTTGCCCTGTGTTCCTGAAGCTTGAGTCAACCAAAGACTCCACCAGACAGGATTTGTTGTGCCAAGACAACAAAGCTCATATCCTGGCGCACACACACACACACTGTTCGGCGCCCGAGCTCCTCAAGTCACTGAAGAACTAAGATGCAAATTCCCCTCAATGAAACAGCAAACCGGAGCTCTGCAACAGCCCTGTTTGAAAAATCATCTCAAACTTCAGGGCCAAGCACGACGGCCGCTACGGAGGATCCTCCACGGAGGGCGACCGATTCAAAGCGAGTCTGGGCTGCCATCACATTTCGGAGGTTGCGGTGCTGAGGGGCATTGAATGTGCACCGTTTAGAGATTGGAGAAAAAGCTTCAGGTTGTCGGTGTTTAAGGGGCAGGGGGTCCAAAAAGAGTAATGGATCTGAGCAAGGGCATACAAATACCGTTGTACGTGCTCTTGCTGCCAGTGCTTTCATTGCTGCGGTCGCATGCTCCATCGTTCTTCAAGATCATCGCTGTCAACATTCATACCTCTGGTATTTGGTTGTGGCCAAGGGTTTGGAGAGGTTTTTGCCTTCTCCCACTCAGATGTTACGTTCCGCAGGCGTGCGCATTGGTTGTTGCAGCGGAATTCATACAAGCAATAGTCTAAACTCCTAGTATCCCCGTTCATAACCCTTACACGAATCCCTACAATAGTCCCCGTATAACCCCTGTTTAACCCCTTTAAGGAGCTTAGACTATAGCTCATATTACGGACTACGAGTTCAAGAGTGTAGGGTTCCAGAAAACGAAAAGTTGGATTCAGGCCTACAGCTTCTGCAAGCTTAAAAGCTGATGCAGATGCCTATCTGGATTTTTGAAATCAGGTTTGGGTTCCAAAACGCGATGAAGATTTTCCCGGACAGCTCTCAGAGGGCTCAGAATTGGCGTCAGCACATGGGCCGGCAGCGCATGGAATCAGGTAGGTCATCCAACTTACCAGCGATGACTTCTTACCCATATGTGCAGCAGCTGCGCTATGAGAAACCAAGATCCAAGCTCAAGCCCAACATGACCATGCACCAGCAGCAACAGCCAGCATACGCTTATGCTTTGTATTCCTTGGCCGCTGAGTTGGATGATCATGACTTTTTCTGATGTAGGAGTGCAGCCAACATATAACGCCGTATGCTCAGCAAGCCAAAGATCCCAGGAAGTGGGAGACGCTCATTGCCACCACCTACAAGATGCTGTCATCTACGCAGTGCCAGAGCCAGGTTAGTTTGGCAACTTGAGGCATACATGGGCATTCCGCAGCATGAGTGCAGGTTTGCGTAGAATGTCGCATTACGGAGCACCTTGCAGTCCACAATGCATATTCATCCAAACATAAGACAGCGAATTCGTTCCTGTTCTTCAGCCAACCAACGCCACCAAATCAAGAACGGCGCGTGTGTGTGGTTTCGGAGTCCTTCAAGGCCATGCCCTGCAAAGACCCTTGCATGGGCTGGACTCAACAGCAGGCCTTGAGTGACCAATCCATGCGTCGAACCCAGGCAACGCTGGAGCTGCAGGGGCTGGGGTCTGGAGGGGCTGGAGGGTTCTAAAACAGTCACAACCCTTGCACGCGAAATGCTGTTCGCACACTCCCTGTCGAAACAAGTCTATGACTGACCCGCCTTGCACTTAGGGCCTTCTTCTCGGGTTCGCCGTGGTGAGCCTACATGGGTTGATGGGGCCACAAATGTTCTCCAAAATCTTTCCCGCTGATTATGGTAAAGGGTGTGGAGTGGGGTGGGTAACAGGAAAATTGCAGAGCAAATTCAGGGGTGCGCAGGCAAGCCATAGCCAAGGGCCCTCTTGAAAAAAGTGAGGTGCCCATCCACGGGCCTGGTGCCGAACTGGGCTCAGGCGGGTAGTTCGAGTTGCTTCAGCGCAGATCTCCTCAGAATTCAGAGCTTGCCGAATTGAGGCTGAGGTTCAGGTTCGCACATGCGAGGTTTGGAGCAGAATGGAGAGGCGGTTTCGTCAAAATGTTTGATGTTGGGGAAGTCGTAGTAATGGTGCCAGTCGCATAGCGGCAACCTTACACTTCTGACGACCCCTGTAATGCCTCCAACCGCTTGAACCCAGCGTGGAATCGACAATCACCGGCCACCATGAACATCTTGGAATTGCGCAAAGTCGTTTCAAGGTACTTGCAGGACTGCAGAAGAAATATCATTCGTGCACCTAGACTTGCGATGACAGATCTTTGTGGTAATAACAAGAGCCAGCGGAGCAGAAGTGCTCGAAACGTTATGAACAATTGCTGTTAGTGCTAGTAGGATGTTAGTATGACCACTGACCACGGTCAAATCCGGGCTTTGCTTTTGCCAGTATTGCCTATTTTCTTACGCCATTAGATGCACCACCCTTTCGGGGACTTTAGCACTTCAGCTTGTACTAGGTAATGCTAGTTTGGACTTATCGTCGTAGTACTTGGCAACCCCAACGGGCCCACGTGTATCCTAACAGCCGGCTCCAGGTTTTCGAGGAGGGCCGCAGGCTACGAGCACAGCATCCCGGCTCAAAGTCTGTATGAATCTAGCATGCTGCTGGAAGTGATAGTTGAACTTGAACTCATGGCTACAACAAGCACCTTGCTGGGAGTGCCTAAAGATCAGGATATTTGCGATAGATAGTACAGGTGGTCGAAGGCCATTGAGGTACCCATCAGGGTGGAGCCACACGGAATCTGTGCTACAGCGGAGAAAAGCTGGCTGGAAGCTCTAATGTGTGGAAGGCTTCGGGTTCTGAAGTTGAAGATTCAAATGCACCTTGGATTGAGTACCGAGATCATTGCTGGTTCTCTGGCCATCATTCTATTCATTGTGGGCTTGATATGAATGAGTGCCCAGTGCGGCGCAGCCAGAATGCTCGAAAGTCACCTCGAACTTTATAGCTTGAGTTCTATCATGTCATTGGCCTATCAAAGGCCAGCTTCCCAAGGTTGATGAAGAGCACTAGCAGATTTTCTCTTGTCATATAAGCCTTCTTTGCGATTGAACCCGCCATGCTAAAGCCCACACCCCAAGCCCTGCCATGACACTCACAATGTTGTGCCCTACAGGTGAGCCTCAGGATATAGTCCCCCTTGAGTAGATAGAATATGGGTTATATGTGGATCTTATTATCATATACCCATAGGCATACTCTGTTATCTACTTAAGGGGGACTAGATTTAAAGAACCTTCACAATACCAGTAACTCCCACCTCTGAGGACGGGCTTTAGCGGAAGCGGCACTCCCGGTGCTGAGTACGGTGCGGAGGCATCTTGCGTGTCTTCTCGATGTGTCACAACTGAGTAGTATGTAATTTGGGGATACTATGGTACCCAATAAAGAGTAAGATTATATCCTCCTTTTGGGGTATAGTATTTTATATAAGGGATAAAATCTTATTGGCTTCAACCACCAAACAAAACTCTACTCAACTGTGTATCCCTGCCTTGAGGGGTGGTGGTGTTTACGTCAGGTTGGCTTTGGGTGGCATCTGCTACCGATTTTGGGTTTACATTCAAGTGTTCAATATTGTGCTGCGTCGCTGACTGGCCAGTCCTGAAGAACTGTTCCTAGGTGCTTGGGATTTCGGTGGCAGTTGAACTGACAAGTCAGTGCATGCTGAAGACATGTCAGGTTTCTGTGTCCATGTGACCTCCACGTATTGGTCTGGGCAAAGGGTTTTTCTAGCAGCCGTACGCGAAGCAGTTCTCCGTCTTTGATTACCGTGTTGCATCCCAAGCCCGAAGGACACAATCCAAAGATTAACGAGCAAAGCTGATGGTCCCAGACTAGACATGAGCACATAGCCGGTCTGATCGTCTTCACTTGAAAGGCCTCAAGGACGATCTGGCGTGTGGTGGTGGACTTCGTCTTGTACCCGTCCGAGGCCAACAGCCCAAGAATGAGGGCTCGAATTTCTGAGTTCTTCAGCAACGGCCGTGTCTTGGTGAGGGCTTCACTCCCCTGTTCTCCAGTTTGATCTGGTTTTGCTACCCTCCGTGCAAACCTCAAAGTGCCATACTCAAAGGAGCGTGCTTACACTTGTTTGTACATCGAATCGCAGCATGCATTCAGTCCCTAAATGCTGTCGGGCTTCATGCATTTGACCATGCTCCCAGGAGTTCGTTCTCGACCCCTTTGGTCATGTTTCGATGTTCGGAAGACTAGGTGATCACGTTCTGTTCAAACGTGGTCGGTGAAAGACGGGCCTTATCCTGCATTGTTTCTGATTTGCTTCTTGGCGGCCCCGCAAGTGCAGCCCTTCCCGCAATGGCCCTTACATAGCTTTAGCATGATATGCTTCAAAGGCTTATTCAAACTGTTTAGGCGCCTACAGGACGAGATGCATCTGTTGAGCTACCGTCCTGCCGTGCTGGTAGCCCCTGCTGCGTCGGAAGGATCCAGGCCTCCCATCCTGAAATCTACTCTGGACCCAGCAATCAAGAAAGCTCCAGCAGACACGATGAGAATCGAAAACTTTTCAGAAGAATCTTGGAGCTATCTAGCAGATTTGCTGTACTCTAAATCATCCGCAACATCCCACATAGAGGCGGGTTCAGCTGCGCAATTCCTTGAGCCTGTGGCCGAGCATCTGGGCAAGAAGGAGACGGGGTGCAAAACCATGGGGATGTTGGGTCTTGAATGGCTTTGCAACATGAGACTGACCGTTTCGCCAGTCGCTTCGTTTTTAGGAAGCACCTGGCTCACAACGAGCACGCCCCGTTTCGTGGGTTGTTACAGCCCTGTGGATAAAGGCCCTAACATTGCCATCAACACATGAACCGCCAAGAATGGCAACTTTTGTTGTCTTCATAATTGTGCGATTGCACAAGGATTGTTTTACTGCGCCCCATCCACTCCAAAGCCCTCTTCTGCTTGTTTGCGCGCCCGTGTCAGTTCATCAGCCGCAGGAGAGCTCTGGACGCTGGGCTTCGTCTCTGGACATCGACGGCGCCTGCTTGGTCGAAACGATTCACCCCGGATGGCAGGCTACCCCTGTTTGGGGCAGAAGTAGATATCAGAAGGAATTTTACAGGGCCTTCGAGGGTAACGTAGGGTTGTTCTAGGAGTTGAGTAAGCTTGGTTTTGGGGCGCGCCTGCCCAAGCTCCAATATCCTTGCAAATTTGTAGGTTTCATGGGGTGATATGTTACCTTGAAAGGATCAATAATGGAAAGGCGAGCGCGTCGATTTTGCTACTCAGGTTTTGTCCAAGACCTGCGCAGGCAGCATTAGTCTGAAGTCAGGTTGTCTGCTGACCTCCAGCGCATACTTGATACTTGGGCCAAAGGAATGCCGCATGCGCTTGGGCGCAGTGAAGCCCCAACAATGCGTAGTTGCAGACCCAGATCATCCTTTCATAAGGGCATCTCGGCCTTCACACAAGAAGGCCCAAGAGGGAGCACCCTGCCATGATCATTCCATTAAACAGCGGACCCCAGTGCTGCACGCGAGGTGAACATGTTCCTTGGCTGCAATTTGGAGGAAGTTGTACTGCTTGTGGTCAGCCAGGGAACCTCTCAGAAGCCAGGCAGTTTGCTCTGGCGATGCATGACAGCGACGTAACAGAATATAACAGGATGAATGCCCTGACTTCTTTATCATGATCTCGTCTCCTCGCTTTTCGGCCATGATTCCTCTGCGATTGCTACCGCCGTCAGCCTTATGTTCTCGCTACAAGCGCATGTATCATAATTAGTCTGTATTGCAGCTGTGTGTATACCCAGCTTAGAGCAGATGGTGTCACGAGATCTTTCAGGTGCATACAGGGAAGACCGAAGTTCCCTCAGCAAATTGGAGCAGAAACACTTAGACTTGCTCTGGGAGATAAGCCGCAGAAGTCCCTGCCACATCAGCTGCTATGAGGATTTGGAGCACTTGAAGCAAAAGCCTGTTTCAAGGCATGCCGAATTTTACCCGGGTCACAAGCTTTGCTCAAACCCAGGTGCTTGCATCCCTTGATTTCAAGCATCCAGTCTAGAATCCTGCAGAGGGACCCCCGCAATCCCATTGGAATCCCTCCCTGTATGACACCGCCTTTTCGCGACACTCCCGTTTCTGCTAAGCATCCAGGTTTATGGCTGCGCCCACCTTTGCCAGCCTCGTTTGCCCGGCCCCAGGCCTAGGCTCCAGCCGACAGCAGGCGCGAAGCCCAGCCCTTCCGCATAGGGTTTGGGGTCAAGGGTGTTTTTGGTATAGTGATAGTATGCCGAGCTCTGCTTTGTAATTGCAGCTGCAGCATACTTTCCGGACAGGGCATAAATCTAGACTCTGACACTCTTGGAAGTTTGGGTAACTTCCAGGTTGATCAGGAGGGTTTGAGCTCTCATGGCGCTTTTTGAATGAATACTACAGATTACCTTCTTCAGCGCCTGGCTCGTACAAGTATCATCGGGCTTACACTACACGGTGCATGCTGCAGCTGCTGAGCATTCGGTTGATCCCATGATGCGATATCAGAAGTTATAGGTGACTACATCATAGGCTTCGCGTTACGCCAAGTACCGGGCTAGGCAAACAATCCTCCATCCAAAGAGCCGGCTTAGCCCTTCCCCAGCAGAGTATGTCTACTATGAGTTCCGAAGATGAACTCCGAAGGCAGAGGTATTGAGCCACGCGCAGGTGCATGTACTACATGGGGTGTTGACTTCACGTAATGAGATGGAGGTTGACGCACGGGGTCCGATGGGTCTTCCTAAAATGTTCCTTCCTTTCATATACTCCTCATATACTTGCTTCCCTGTTCTTTTGGTCCCTTCAAAAATGAGGACCGAGGCTTTGGGAAGCTCCCATATAGCGCACACCGGAGGAGCTTATCGACTCTGCTGGCCGGCTTCTTGCAACACAGCAGATTCGGGACTCGGCAAGTTGAAGATTGATTATGGTTCAGGTTACTAACATTACGATTATCACGAATTGTTATTATGTCGCACCCCTGATTATGTAGCAGCTGCCATGTTCTTTCTCCATGCGCTTAGAGTGGAAGATGGAAGCTACTTAAGCATATAGTGCTTTTATTGAACAAAAAAGCAGGAACTATTTGTTGTACCGTACTTCTATACTTTATGAATCTCCGGGGAAGCACCTTCTAGAGTGAGGGGTCTGGAAGCGTACCATTCCTAGTGAAAGGTGCTATTGTGTCAGAGACGCAGCTTCTCATTATGCTCAGGTTGCCGTTAGTTTCATGAAACTCCTTCTACTGGTAAATAGGCGCATTCCCAAACCTGAACCCTAAAAACCCTAAACCCTCCGCCTCCAGGAGGAAGAGCGTGCAAAAAACAAAACTTAACCCTGATGAGCTTTAAAATTCAAGTTTTCTGACGCAAGGCGCCTGAGCCTGAACCAAAGCTCGGCTAAGAGCGAGCAAGGGCTGTCAGCGCTGAGCACGTTGGGCAAATTCGTCATGGGAGCCATAGTCTAAAGTCTTTAAAGGGGGTTATAAGGGAACTATTATAGGGGAGTAGTATAGTGGTCATTAAGGGGGATACTAGGAGTTTAGACTATCATTAGCTCATGTGAGGCCGGGCGGCTAAAGGCTGGATGATCAAAGTTCTATGTCTAGAGGGCTTGGGATGAAGTTCACAACCAGTTGATGACATCAAGTTGAGATTTTCTCAGGCTTGTCAAAATGTAATGGCCACGTCCTCTGGTGCCCCGTCACATTGACTTCCCAGAATCCTGTATCTACCACAAGACAGGACTACTATTCGGGAAGCTGGGTGGCCATCAGCACCCTGGCTGCGCAGCTTGGGGGAGGAAGTCGAGGGTAGGGCTTCAGACTCAGTCTGGGTAATAGGGGATTCTGGAAACATGCTGCCTTATTGTTCTTGTGTCTAGCTGGGGTTAAAATTGAAACGACTCAAGACGAAAACCAGGTCGCAGCATCTAGTCGCGCGATATCTTTAGGGCCAAAGGCTGATGAGTGACATTGTTCACGTGGAATTCTCCGTGACTGGCGTCTTCAGTCCCGTTTGCTTGTCAGGCAGAAATCTGAATGCGAATATCACAGGTGAGTTGTTTTGCCACGGCCTACCCTGTCAAGCAGAACGCTGTGAGGCAACATACATGGCAGGGCCCGGCAGAACAGAACACACATAATCCTCATCAGGCCTATAGAGCCCTTCACCCTATACAGTAGTTTCGATGTTCTTTGTCAGTATCCCCTGGCCCTATATAATCCCATATAGCCCTATATTACCCAATATACCCTGATATATAACCCATTATGGTCTTCCTCAAGCTCAGGGTCCTGTCATTCCCAAATCTGTGCTGAGAGGCACTATGACTCTCAATGGGGACTTGGCGAAGGCGGCTGCTAACGCCAGGCTCGGCGCCGCGCAGCGCTCAAGGTTGGGGCCCGATCTGGTACCACTGCTGTTGATACTACTTCGGAGGTCAGGAGAGCATCTGCAAGTTTACTAATCCCTATAACCCGTATAGTAACCCCAGCTATCCTCATCATCAACTTTCTTGATAGGTCCCGTCCTGCATGACCTTCCTGGTATGCTAGAATAGCACAGCAGCATAATTCTAGGAGCTTAGGTATAGGTTGTTTAGTATCAAGCGTTCCGCTTGAATAGAATTTAGGAAGTATGTTTCGTCAGCTATCTCACAGCAAGTGCGCAGCTGTTCAGCGTTGATATCGCGGAAGAGGTTGGGATTGAAAGGCTCAAGCTTCTAAATAGAATTAAACTGATCTGTTCAGAAGTCCTGTGACTGCGATACAAGATGTTTAGGACTTTCAAGTCAAGTCAGTTCCTATACAGATACTGGCAAGGTCCAGAAGCCTGACCAGTTGTGTTGAATGATATGCTTCAAATCCAACATGACGCGGCGCTTTCCTATGCAATGCTTTCCACATGCTTCTTCGTTATCTTCCAGATTGATAGCACGCGAGGCCTCTGAAAATTATGATTTTTCATGAAAAGATGGATGTTCTGATGGAAACTTACCCCAGCCCTCCCGCTGCAGGCATGGCAAGACGGTGAAGCTGATTTCTTGAGCCGAGAGGGTATGGACCTCGGCCAGTCTGGTGCAAGTTCTCTCTCTTTGCATCTTTGCAGAGAAAGCGCCCTTTGTGAGGCGACTCGACCGCATAGAGGCACAGAGTGACCGAGAGAATTCAAATGCGCGAGCCAGCTACTGCAAGTCAGCAGCCAAAGTGAAATTCGCCCTATGCATGAGTGCATGGGTGGGAAATCCAATACAAGGCGTAACTCTGCTTTGTAGAACCAGAGTGTGACGTTTTAGCATGCGTCTAAGTCTGGTACTTAGCGTATCCAGGGGATGGTTAACACTGGGCGACAGAGATGAGCCTTTACCTCTGTTTATCATGGGCATTAACGATCCCAGACCAAGGACAAGGACTCACGCTTCGAGACTTTACCTTGTGGAATTCAGGCCCTCCATGGGTGTATGGCATAAACAATTCAGAGCTCGGCACTTCGAGCTTCGGATTTAGTTGAATATGCATGGTCTAGGATTGCAATTTCCCACCGGGCACTTGAAGTCAATTTTGGTCACCGCAGGGTACAGAGCCCCGCGGTGAAGGCAAAGAGCCCCCCAAGCTCCGAGTCCTGGGACCTCTTGCAAGCCTTTGCAAGCTTGGACGCAGACCTTAGACAGGAGATCAAGTATGACGTTCTGCCCAGCAAATAGACAGCCTTGACTGGGAAGTAGTAAAAGAAAGGGAGTGGAGGGAATTGAGAAGCTTAAGGTGTTGAATTTTGATGTACGGGTCCAACTTGTTCTTTGTTGGATTCTGAAGACGCTGTCTGGCCATGTTCTGATTTTGCGAATGTGCGGAACACTTGACCACAATCGCAACACTGTCGTGTCTCCCACTGTTTTCCCCAAGCCTCAAAGGTACCAAGATTGGTATTGACATGCCTCAGTAACATGGCAAGTGTTCAGTTCTGCAGGAAGATAGTTCGAGTGACGCATGAGATCTCAGTTTTCTGAGTGTCTGTGGGGCCAAGCCTTACAGAAGCCCTGTCAGCAGCGGACGTAGCAATGGCAGTCCGCTTGCCACACGGGCGTTCAACTTTTGCGGCCGGAACGGTCGATCCCCGCCAAGCATGGCAAAGAGAAGTCACGTCACAGCCCACGTTGCCGATATTTTATCTACTTGAGGATTATTCCTCCTAATGTTGCTATTATTCTTAGTAGATTATTACTACTACTATTATTACTATGTCCAGGTCTCTTGGCTAGCATGCTTCAAGGCCTTCTCTGCATTTTCCACAGACGCGTGCACTTAGCCCGGACAAGTTCTGATGTACTTTATCCTGCATGCCCACCGCCATTATGATCCAAACCCCCAAACCCTATGTAAACCTTCTTAGTCCCGTAGTTGCACCCGAAGCCATTTTGGTCGAATTCTCAAGCTGCTGCAGCTGCCGAGCGCGCATTTGATTCCTCTTGACAATGGCCTCGCTTTGCTTCAATGCTGGTTTGCACCTGGGCTGGCTGAGAGCCTGCGAGTAGACGCAACACTAAAATTGCCAGCAGAAGCAAGAGTACGAGGAGTGGTACCATGATTTGTGGAAGTACAGTTGCAAGGATAGTTTCTACTGCGGTGTGCTCTGCCAACTTTAATTGCCCTGACAAGACTTATCAATATCAGCAGCATGATGATCATTGCCATGGCCCTGCGTGTAGCCTTGATTAAAAGCTGCACGGCAGAGTATCGTGCGCATTTAGCTTTCAGTCGGGCAGATATCCCCTCTGTCCACATGCTTGCAGCGGGTCCCCACACCACTCAACCCATATAACCCCTATAAATATATATATATATATATTTCCGATTATGATATGGTACTTTCCTTTTCCATTATCCCCATATAACCCCTATATTGCTTGGTTTCTGCACCCAGGTCCCTGAGTCTCCTGGGCCGTTCGGCCGCGGAGACGCAAGCGTGTGCTGCTGGGACGGCGGGGCCGTTGATGCTCCAAGCCAGGTGCACTGGGTAAGGTCCGGGACAAAATGGGGCTGCACAGATCCTAAGAAACCGTGGATCTCAAGCCCTAGACCCTAAAGCCGCCGCATTGCATACGTATTACTTGTGGCTCCAGACTATGGATATTTCTGGGGTGAAAAAACAGAATTGAATTGCAACTCACCGTCTCCGAGCCACAGGAGCCATTGTCTACAGTCCTTAGAACATTGCGCAGAGCGTGCCATTCTGGACCTCATAGAAGTTGGACTGCCCGGGCTGCTTATGTTCTCGCTGTGATTCCATTCTGGAAACCTGATAAGCCCTTGTACTGGCTTGGTTGCAGCCTCATGCAGCCCCGCATTCTCGAGCTGTGTGGTGGAACTCAACATTGAAGTTCCGAAAAGGGTTTCTGTCTCTGCTAGATCTTGGTCATGCTACCTGATTGTGACAGGGTGGGCCAAGTGGGGTAGGCGAATGGGGCTCCCCAGCCCTAAACCGTAAATATGCAGAAGCTGAACACAAAAGACATGGCGTGTTTACGTATTCTTCCTAAGTCCTACACCCTAGACGCTCAGCCTCAAATCCCTAGATCTTCTCACATGCTTTGCATCCCCAAGCAATTCAACCCTTGATCCGAATCTTCATCCCCAGAACAAATCGGTGCTGAGCCAAACAGGTTGGGGCAAGGTTCTTCGAACTAAGGTGTCAGGATTCCGCGAGGAAACCATGCTAATTCCTTAGGCTCCGTCCTTGAAACGCCAGAAGTCCTAAACTTCACATGTCAGAACTCTCCTCCCCACCTGACTTTTCAGCAATTCCCTGTGCTCCATACCGGGTACCGGTAATGCGGAAGTCACAGCTACATGTTTTGTCAAAAGCCTTGACTTCTTAGCCTCGCGAGTGGTGGGGCTTCAAGGCTCCAAATACAAAAGCCGGACCGGAGAATAGGGAGGTGTGTGTGTCAACACTCCGCAACCCCACCTTGGCTTCAAAAACGTCATGCATCCGACCCGAAGCAGCGAAGCAGGCACAGACTTCACAAGAGCCTGCAGGACGAGGTTGGATTCAGGGAGCAATTGTTGACGAGTACTATTGCTCACACGATTAACGGTAGTGCGCCATAGCTGCCTGCGTTACCTGTGGAAAGCAGTACTGGTTACCTGGTTGCTGCTGTTGAGCCTCATGTGCTGAGTGCGTCACACATGTATGCAGCCCTGCTGAACGGACGAGATGTAGACACTGGCCGTGATGTGGATATGATGAGAGCAAAGATATTGTCATAGCTTCCCACCGTTAGCATATCAAACAGCACGTATATTATATATTGTCCGGCAGAAGGTGGTCCAAGTGCTGGGGCCTTCTTTGCATTGTTATGACGATCTGTGTGCTTCTGTCGCTGGCCTCATGACGATCTTTACACTTTTCACACTACCATACTGATCTTTAGAACTGCTTCCATTTCTTGTCACAGTGTTCCTTGGAGACATGTTAGAGATGTGTGCTGCTTACTGGTCTCGGGGATTAGCTGGGACTTTGCAATGAGAGGCAGTCCCAGCAGTGCTGGATCCCGAAGGGCAGACGCGCAAACATGTATCTCGTGCAAACAGGCTGTGACAGCTGCTATGGGCCTTTGGACAGACGATGTCTCTGCAGCCCAGATGCACTGGTTGAGGGCAGGAGTTTGAGGTTCTGAGGTTTTGTGTCCAGATTCTTATCATCATATAATGGGAACTCTATTGAAAGCCAAAGTAAATGTCGATGAAGACCAGAGAGTGTACTTTCATTCCCTAGCGTAGGCTCCCCATCTAATTGCGCCGTGTTCGGCCAATTCTCATTCAGATTGCATGTGAGCGGACTTAGAAAGTCATCCTTGTGCTCTCACCTGAGAACAGTGCTCTTCCTCATTGCTAGCTTCTCAGGAGGTACAGGCATGGAACTTCAATTCCCCCGCCCCAGCCCTCTAAGCCCTAAACCCTGACTAGCTGCTAAGGCTGTCCAGGGGGGCTCCTGCGAATACGCAAATGCAGCGCATGGTGGGCTCCAGCCGCTCCACGGATCAGGGCCTTTCAAGACAGAGACGGCAAGGATAACAGCAGACTGCAGTAGCATCGTGGGCACCTGCTTCGAGGATCTTGTCAAGACTGTTATGAGAAACTGCCAAACATGAAGGGGAGGTTGGAAAGTACGGAAAAGAAGATGTAGCCCGTGTACAATGCCCAACACGCATGTTTCCCTTTTCTTCTCCATAGTTTCATTAAGTTTCTCATATCTACCCTTGAAGAGGGCACCGGAGTGTTCAAGGCCACTAGTTGACCTTTGGGCGTATAAAGCAGGACTTGAGGCTTCGCTACATGCTATACCCTCCTTAAGTAGGTAGAATATGGCTTTGGGTATGTTGTAATAAGATCCCC